TATTGGTCCCGACAGTCTGGCAGTTCGATGGGTTTCCGTACCAGCGCAAGGCGTATGTTGCATTGTCAAGGGCGAAGTATGCGCAATTGGTTTCGGTTTAATGTAGTTTAGGAAACTAGTGAAGGCCCTGGCGTACTAAAGAAAAACAGTGAACACTGATCGAATTATTCACCCCGAGTTTGAAGTGAGCGGATCAGTCGTATAAAAAGTGTGGCCTCCTGAGTTTTAAGGCATAGAACAGCTGAATAGGACACCCTATTTAGTAGGAATACGGCATGAGACATTTATTCTGTCAGACTAAGAAGCAGCTAATCCCAGAATAATACCAGTGAATGATAGTGTCCAAAACGAGAATTTGCAATGCCAAACCAACTGGTGAACAGATGGGACAGATCACAGAGGATCGGAGCTCTAGCATTGTTGATGAAACGGCAGGTTATCTTACAAGTACCAAGGTCTCCTCCATTTGGGCAAGCCATCAGGGGTAGAATCCTACTTTTGGTCCAAAATCAGTACCTTCTCTACTACAGGACCGGGTGTAATAAAGAGTGTATAATCTCGGCAATATAAAGAAAGAAAATATAAATTAAAAAACAGAGTTCATAAAATTAGTAAAAACCAGAAACAATTATTTAAATAATGTAATGTTTGTCAACAAGAAAGCGTCCCATAATAAAGGTTTGCAGTAATGCACATATTGGGAAATAAAATAATTAAAAAATTACTATTCAAGAAAAATTTAACTCACTTAAATATCATAAACTGAAGTAGGGTAAACTCACTTCAATCAAAAATATTGTAAAAAACAAAAATAGAGTTTACATAATAATGAACAATTTATAAACTGAAAACTAAACTTAAATATAAATAAGTTAAATAAACCAAATAAAATTAATTGACGTAAAATTATAGTGCTCATAAAATTAAAGTGTGCGCGGCGTTTCGAAAACGGTTACATGGAGCTTAGGTAAGTTTATCTAGACGACCTCCCAACCACCAACGTTTTCCAGGAATATCAGGAAACCCACAAGTCTATGAAGTATCAGTAAACAATGTCCAACGTTTTCACACCCAATAAACTGTAAATAAGTAGGAAATGTAGGTACATTTATCTGTATGTTTATGGAGCACTATTTTGTTGCGAAAAAATACAATATTTAAACAATTTCTGAAACCAATATTATGATTTCACCCGGTCAGGGGATTTACAATCGCTGACAAAGCACAACGCCCATAAGTATACTGCCCTCCTTTAGTTATGTCCGACTGATTTCACAAATACGACCAGCATATGTATATAGGTGGTTATGACACAGGGTAAAACTCGACTCAAAAATTTGCTGTCATATATCCATAGATACTGAAAATGACAATGGTCAGTAAGTTAGCTGATGGTCCCTTTCTTGTTAATTAGCTAAATAAATAAGACGAAGTAAGAGCGCTATCAACGGAAAAGGCCTCAGTAGTATAAGGGGTTTCAGGAAGAGGAATAGAAGTTAATAGTGCATTGTGAACATGACGGTAGATAAAGGTTAGGAAATATATCTCCACGTTTGAAGGAACCTACAATTAGAACGCCAAGAACGATCTTTACAAGGACTAGTGTCCAAAAACTACGTTTTCTTAACAATTTGGTGAGAGTGTGTTATATGTAGCAGCACGGAATTGCAAAATCATGGAATTCCGTGATATGGGAGTGGTAGTGAGGGTAATTTACTTGTTTTAAATTTAACTTTAGTACTTTATCAATTTGCCTTATTAAATGTATTTAAATTTTTATTTTATATTTTTATTTATTTTGTTATATATTTGACGAGGTTTCTTTGCTTTATCTTAAGCACTTGAAATAAGTGTATCTACTACTTCCACATTGTTTGTCTGCAGCCCATATCACACCGTTACCACCGATCCCCAATTACGGAATATAGAGGTTTTGGGTTTCCGTAGTGCTGCCTATGAAACAGTCTTATTCATTTTTTCAGGGAAATATTTACCTTGCAGGATTTTTACAAACAAATAGAGTAGAACCTATATTAGTGGAATGGGCTTTATAGAACGTCCTAGATCAAACTACTGATAAATAAGGTTAAAAAAGCAAACAAATACACAAAATGGTAGGCTTTCAATTTTACCGGACAAATCTATTCATAATTATCAGTCAAAGTTTTGGTTATTTCTTGCATTTTCCGAAGTTAAAACGCGTTTCCAGAAGGTTGGCATCTATAAACACACTAATAATTATTTGTATATTTCCGTTAGGTTTTGCATTTGTTTAATATTTTTAATGTTTACTTGTAAGCTATCCAACAGGTGTTAATTTCATTTCCCGTGTGATTATCTATCGTTTGTAAATTTCGACACATTGCAGCAAACAGTTCAAATATTGTAGTAATAAAAACTCTTATATCACTGGTATCTCCCCAATAGGCTCCTTGATTTTGCCTTTCTGGTTCAGGGTATTTTAAGGGCGAGTGTTCGACTATGACTACGCTAATGTTTAGAGTGTTCGAATTAGGATGATTACAAAAATGTTGTGGGAGAGAAGACTAAGAAGAAAAAAATAATTACAAAAAGGGGATGAAGCCAAAGAAGATTAAAGGAAATCGTAGTGAGGATAAGAGGGGAGTCCCCACTATCAGTACTTTCAGAATTGCATCAGCAGTTGAAATAGCATAATAAAATTGACGAGCGGGAGAAAATGTGAAGGGATGTAGGAAATGAAGTCAAATTAGGTACAAGGGGTGATAGAGGAGGAGAGATGAGGAGCAGGAGAACAAAGAGGTGAGGAGAAGTAATTGGGGGAGCGGAATTAAGATGTAAATGTGGATAGGTCATAACAGAATGACGCAGAGAAATGGAAAGTAGAAAAGTTGAAGCATCTTTTCCCAGGTACTTGTTCGGGCACGAACAACCTGTATCTTACGCCACCTTGAGGCAGCATACATAAGGCGGTTTAAACCTGACATATGTAAACAACTGGAGCATGTGGTAAATCTAACCCTGCCGTGGTAGCACCAGCTCCCTGTTTACACACCCACCTTCAAACCTTTTTTGTTTAGATGTTTTTTGCCTTAGACGTTTTCACAGCGGTTTGCTGCCCACAGCGTTTGAATTTCCTACTTTATTGATTGCCCCTTGGCTATTTCTAGTGATCTTGATGCTTTTGTATCGATTTTTCTGTATGAATTCAATTCCTATTATTTCTCATTCGTTACTTAGTTTATGCAGCGAGTGGATTGCAGCTGATGAGCGCTCGCGAAATTAATGGTTCCATTAAATTCTGCTACATACGCAGACTTCAAAAAGTTGAAAAGGATAAATAATAAATAACGTTAAGCGATTTGAAATCATAAAATGTATACAGTAGATTCCTTATCACATGAAGCCGTTAACAAAATTGTAAATGCCTTTTTGATTCGCATACATTACTCAGGTAAAATATCATACTGCTTACCTAACAGGCTAATCCCAATATACTTTCGCCACGCAAAGATGTCGGCTGTTAATCGAGTTTTTTGGGTTCCTGAGGTAATTATTTTCTATGAAACAAATGCTGTCTTATTTAGTAAAATTTTTTGGCATGGATTCCACTCCTAGATAAATAAGAATACATTGCGCAAAAACGATGCAGGCATGTTTTTTTCTCTTGTACACATTTGACATGCAATAACGCCTTCTCTAAATGCTATATTCGAAGAAAGTGTAACTTTCGGTTAAAAAAAGCCTTCCAAAATGAAGAATGACCTTGACTATCACGGGCCGTCACCTCTGAATTCAAGTATCCTCAGTACATATTGTTTGCATTCCAATCAAGATTTAACTGTAGGTTATGCAGGTGCATTTTCATGTCAAAAATCCGTAGTACTTATTAATGCTGCACTGCATTAGTCGCCGAATATCACGCCAAGTAGTGATACTGATTATCGTGTAGTCTATTCTGAAGTCATTTCAGTCATGATAGAATGCGGGCTTTTTAAAGAGCTTCGTCCTGACCACTACCAAAATGTATATATTTTAAAAACTGGCTACTTATGTTGACTGCATTTATAAATTTAAATATATGTTAATGAAAACAGGCACTTAAAAGATTTCTTGTACTTGTTTTAAATTTTCGAATATTCCCATTGAAACTTTCAGAAGATAAATAGGCGAATATACGTTTGATTTCGATAAATTCTCGTTAGGCCTTTACATCTAGATGGTAAAGAAGACGTGGTCCGGTCAACACATACCTTTTGCTTATTTAGTACCGTTGAACTTCAAACGTAATTTAGTACGATGGTTGACGCAAAGGGCAAAAGGGATTTGCTAGACCGATAGCATTGAAGAGGAGCTTAAAATTGTTGGAGGCATGTTTCGACAAAATGGGTATCCCAGTCGCTTTATCGCTGAAATCATGGCTGAAAGGCCGTCAAAAGCCGTCAGTATTAACAATAGAGAAGAAACGAATGTTCATAAGGTTCCTATTTCAAGGGAACGAACCAAGCGAACGTCTTAGGAGGCGCCTGAGTCAAGCCGTAGCAACTACCTTCCCAGCAGCCATCGCCCATGTATATTTCTCGACTACTCCCATCCTATACGGAGAGATCACGGATAAACTGCCAGCTCAGACCGCCTCAATGTGCATATATTCATTTACTTGTTCCTGTGGGACAGGATATATTGGTCGCACGAGCCGGCGTTTGTCCAAAAGAG